CTCAGGTTCTCGTGCTCCAGCTCCTGGTAGCGGGCCTGGCCGGCAGGGGGAGCGCGGGAGGGGGAGGGAGCAGCAGCGGCAATGGGCAGGAAGAGGGGGAGGGGGGGGGATGGGATCATCCTCCTCCTCCTCCTCCTCCTCCTCCTGCTCCTCCTCGATCTTCCTCCTCCTCGCTCCTCCTCCTCCTCCTCCTCCTCCTCCTCGTCCTCTTCCTCCTCAGCCTGTTTCCTGCCTCCTGCTTTTCCTCCTCGGGCTCCTCCTCTCCCTCCACCTCCTACTCTCCCTCCTCTCCCTCCTGTGGCATCCTCTTCCACCTCACCCCCCCGCCTCCCCCGCCTCCTGTTCCTCCCTCCCTCCCTTCACTTCCTCCTCCTCCTCCCCATCTCACGCCTTGTCCTCATCATCCTCCCCCTTTTGCTCGCCCTCCAAAACTGCCTCGGTGCCCCATGGACGTCCCGCTGGCTGCACATCCCATGGCCACATCACCTCCCCAACCATCAGTGGCTACCGGTAATCCTGCTTCTGCAAAGATATAGGTGATTGGAACAAGAGGCAATCCTCTTCGTGGGCAAAGTCCACCCAGCCCTCTGGGCGCAGGTGGTCTAGCGATGGCTTTCGTTCCTCTTCCAAAAACACGTTCTTCGTCTTCGGGGAAGGGTTTACCCCTCCCCCTGCCCCCTCCCCATTACCTGGACGGAGGGGTTCGCGAGGTGTCAGGGCGTCCAAACTAGCCCGAGATGGTTTCAAGAGGGCCTCAGAGAGCCCAAGATGGCCTCCAATATCGCTCAAGATAGCCTTTCATGGCTCAAGATAGCTAACGACATGCCTCCAAAAGGCCCAAACGGGGCGACAAGACGATTCAAGGTGCTTCTGGACACGCCGCAGGATCTCCTGGGGAAGCCAAAATCTTTCAAAAACTGCAGAAACATCAATGAGTGATGCCTTCTCCCCTTTTCGCTTCCGATGCGTTTTTGAAGCGTCAAGGTGGCCCCAAGATGACCAAAGAGAGTTCCAGAAGGGGCCCAAGCTGCCCCCAAGACGGCCCCGAGATCGCCCAAGATCGCCCCAAGAGAGGCCCAAGCTCGTCCCACGAGGCTATTTTGATGGCCCCAGAGGGGGGGCTAAACGGAGGGACCCCCCATCTGTTCACCGACACACTCCACGACAACCTCAACAGGCCCTCCAGGGCTCCCAAGAGAGCCCCACGAGAGCTCCAAGAGGGCACCAAGAAGCGCACAGGAGATCCCAAGACGCCCCCAAGAGGCCGCCAAGACGCCCAAAGAGGCTCTCCGAGGCACCCAAGACGTTCCAAGAGGCCCCCGGGACCGCCAAGAGGCCCCCAAGACGCCCCAAGAGGCCTTCAGGAAGTTCCATCCGAAGAGACTCCGAGAGGCACACAATAGGCCTCTGGCCCTTCTGCTCGCCCTTTTCCTCCTCCTCCTCCTCTTCCTCCTCCGCCTCATCCGCCTATTCCTCCTACATCCTCCCTCCTCCCCCTCCTCCTCCTCCTCCTCTTCTTCCTCCTCTGTTTCCTCCTCTTACTCCTCCTCCTCGTGCTACTCGTTGTCCTCTTGTTCCTCCTCATGCTCATCCTCCTCCTCTTTCTCCTCCTCCTCATCCTCCTCCTGGTCCTCCTCCTCCTCATCCTCCTCCGATTCCTCCATCCTCTTCATGTTGGGGGATGACGGTTTCCCCGACCCTCTGTCCCACTGCATGCTCCCCCAGTTCCCTCATCAAGGCAACTCGTCTGAGCATCGTTGCTGGATGGGCGGGTGGGGTTGCGTGAAGAATTCCTCCTCATCCTCCGACCTTTTGCCTCGTAGAAAACTCCTCCTCGTGTGACCAGCGGGACGCGCGTTTCGCCCGAGCCTTCCTCCACGTTGATGCCCCGGGATATTCAAATGTCCAAAGCGTTTCCCCGACGCAAAGGTGGTTTTCGAAATGTGGCACTCGCCCCAGCGCACCGCACATCCAACCGAAAAGCTTAGCTTCCATCAAATACAAATATGGGGAGACATTAATATACCAGCCGGTCAAATCAATATTGCATATGAACAGAGCTGGAACTTTGGCAACACGCAGGCGCTCTCAACTCGGAGACGGGGCGGAAGGGGGAGGGGGGAGAGGGAGGAGGAACATCACAACTTCATGATGCAATATTCGATGTGTTGCTTCTCCTTGTCCGGCTTTTGCAGCGTCCGTTCCAAAGAGTTGGAGCCAACATGCGAGCAGGACTGGTTGATGTCGTGGCTCCCTTGCAGCGTTGGTCTGCCTCTCGCTCGTCTGTGAGCCGACGACAGACGTCGAAAAACGGGCGCCAAATCCCACCAGCCCTCTGGGCGCAGGTGGTCTAGGGCGCGCCCTTTTCTAACCTCCTGCCTTTCCCTGCTCGAGAGGTTTACCTCCACCCCCCCTCCCTGGGTCGGGACGGGCTCCCCCGCGAGGGGTTAGGGCGTCCAAGATGGCCCAAGATAGCTTCAAGGAGGCTTTAGCTAGCCCAAGATGGCCTCCAAGATCGCACAAGATACTTCAAGACGGCTCATGATAGATAGCCTCCACCACGCATCCAAGAGGCCTCAAGACGGCCCCACGACGGTTTCAAGTGCCCTCCGAGCCCTCCGAGGACCCCCCCCAAGAGGCCAAAATGGGTTCGAAACCTAGGGAAAATGAATGTGTTGTGCCTTTTCGCTTTTTCGCTTCCGATGGGCTCTTGAGGCGTGATGGCCCCAAGATGGCGCAACATAGCCCCAAGAGAGGCCCAAGAGGGCCGCAAGACGGCCCCAAGGGTGCCCAAGAGCGCCCCAAGAGCGGTCCAAGAGGGCCCCAAGGCGCCCCTTTTGGGCCTCCGAGGGGGGGGGGACTAAATTCAATACCACCCTCTTTCTGAGCGAAGAGGTCCAAGACGGCTCCAAGAGGCCTCCCAGACCTTCTTTATAAAAGAGCCTCAAGAGGGCCCCAATATTCCCCAAAAGAGCCTCAAGAGAGCCTCAAGTGGGCCCCAAGAGAGCCCCACGGGGAGCCCAAGAGAGCTTCCAAGGAGGTGGGGAGGGGGTTGAGCACATGTGCGAAGGGACCCCAATAGAACAGAAAATCCGAGTTTACGACGGGTTCTATTGAGGGGGGTCGGGCCTCAGGAGAGGACAAGAGAGGCCAGGAGAGGGCAGGAGAGGACCCCAAGAGGACCCCAAGATGGCGCCCAAATTGCATTACGAGTCTTCGAAGAACCCCTCACCACGACATATGCCCAAAGGCCGACTTCTCGTCCTCCTTGTCACCGTCCGTTCCTTCCTTGCTTCTTTCCTGCTGCCTGTCTGCCCCTCTTAATCCTCCTCGCGCCGCGTTCCTCCTGCTCCTCCTCATCGTTGCCTTCCTCCTTTTCTGGTTTTCCTCCTCCGCCTCCTCCGCCTCCTCCTCCTCCTCTTCCTCCTCCTCCTCATCCTTCTCCTCATCCTCCTCATCCTCCTCTCACCCCCAAGATGGCCTCAGGCATGCCCAGCACCAGCAACACCGTTTGCTCCAAGATGGCCGTAAGAGGAAAACAGAGCACCACAAGCAGCAACACCAGCAGCATCCACCACCGCCACCACCACCACCATCACCAGCAGCCGCACAAGAGTTTAATTCCCTACCTAGGCTCTGCCTAGAAAGGGTTCTTACTCTCTTTGCTTAAAGGGCCGGGCAATGGAAACCGCCCCGGGCGGTTCCCCCAGTCCCCGCCCCGCGGTTTCCCCAGTAGCGCCCCCTGGGCTCACCCAGCTTAGCTTAGCTTCAGCTTAGCTTTAGCGTAGCTTTAGCTTAGCTTCAGCTTAGCTTCAGCTTAGCTTTGGATTAGCTTCAGCTTAGGGTCAGCTTAGCTTCAGCTTAGCTTCTGCTTAGCTTTAGCTTAGCTTCAGCTTAGCGTCCGCCTAGCTCTAGTTTAGCTTTGCTTAGCTCTAGCTTAGCTTCAGCTTAGCTTCAGCTTAGCTCTAGCTTAGCTTTAGCTTAGCTCTAGCTTAGCTTCAGCTTAGCTTTAGCTTAGCTTCAACTAGCTCTAGCTTAGAGTTAGCTTAGCTTCCGCTTAGCTCTAGCTTTGCTTTAGCTTAGCTCTAGCTCAGCATTAGCTTAGCTTTAGCTTAGTTCTAGCTTAGCGTTAGCTTAGCTTTAGCTTAGCTTCAGCTTAACTTCAGCTTAGCTTTAGCTTAGCTCTAGCTTAGCGTCAGCTTAGCTTCAGCTTAGCTTTAGCTTAGCTTCAGCTTAGCTTTAGCTTAGCTTTAGCTTAGCGTTAGATTTGCTTTTTCTTAGCTTTAGCTTAGCTTTACTGTTACTACGAATGCTGCTTTCCTAGGGGCTCCAACTCCTAGGTAGGGTCGCACTGGGATGATCTAAATTTTAGTGCGGGGGAGCAGATACCAAGGATGCATATGGGGATGCGACTCTCAACTGTCCGACAAGGAAGACGAATGGTAGATACAGTCAACTGCGCCAAAAACGCTTACAACAGGGAATACCCCGGCGTATCTTGCACTGGTATCCATCTTGAATTTTGCTGCGGGAAGCTATGTGTGCTCCTTGTTCCTCATGGCCCAGGGTGGATGCAGCCACCTGCGCTGCATACGTTTTCCACGGGAAGCGCCACGCCGTATCTTGCGCCGATTTCCATCTTAAACTTTCAATGCGAGAAGCTATGTGTGATCCTTGTGTTTCTGAAGGCGACCACGCAATTGCATGCTTCCAGCCGTCCTTGATTTACCATCTCCCCTGCTTATCGTTGCTGGATGGGCTGGTGGGGGCTTTTAGTCGCGGCCGCAAGCGAAGGCGCAGGCGGCGTCAGAAGTCGTCCCGGGCTAGTTACGGGCGAAACCTAATTATCCAGCGAGCGCGCTCACGGCTGCCAGAGCTGCGAGCTGCCGCCGAGGGACGCTGAGCGGCGCTGGGGCTGGTGGGGATACTTTTTTCCGTCGCGGCCGCAGGCGAAGGCGCCAGCAGCGTCAGCAGAGTTAGCTCGGGCTACGAGTAACCTGATTGCCGGCGCGCGCGCCGAAAAACTGGTGGGGAT